ATTTAGTCCATTACGTACCAAGTTAGCCTACATCCAATTAGTTTTGATCAAAACTAATTGAGATTTTCATTAAAACTCCATGCCATAAATTAGGAACATTTGAGATCAGAAAACACATTACACAAGAGACATGAGATGGGATATTGATTTGCAAATTGCATGAGATGGGAAGCAGTTACACAAGAGACATAAAAGGAGCAATTGTAAAGTTTCCGTACACAGAGTGACATTGCAAGGAATTGGGCGAAATTAACTACAATTGCGGGAATGAAGTTCAATGGACACAAAAATAAAACCTAGATGTCTGATTTTTTTTTAAATAGTAATTGTAGATGTTAATGTCTCTCTTTTTGAGAATGTTACCTACAATAAGCAGAAATGAAGGCCACTCTCTCAAGCTGAAGAAGATGGCTAAACCTAGAAATTGAAGTAGTGTTTGAAATTACTTGCGATCGACACTCATTTTATAAATTCAAGAATAAATTCCAGACGCGGTCCTAGAATGAAGACAAAGATCGATTTTACATACCTCTACAGTGAATTTGAGATGAGCTGGGAAATGAAGAAAATGCGTCGTACCAAAATGAGGATCGCTGGATCGAGGACGAAGATAGATTTGGTAAATTCTGAGTAGCTAAGATTATTCACGTAGGTAGTTTTGAGAATTACTCCCTCGGGAAATAATCTTCTACGGAGTACTTTTTTGTACTTCCCCAACTAATCTTCCCATTTCCTTTTTTAGTATGCAATAAATATCAATAATACCCTTCTATTTTATCACAAATCTACTTTTTTAATATATTTTTTTTAATAATAAAAGGAGATTTAAAAGTTTATAGTATGTGCATTTTTGAAAATTTTACATTTTTTCTACTATTCCTTAATAAGCGTGCCAAGTTAACACGAGAAAAATATTTCCGGACGGAGGGAGTAACTGAATAGGTCGAGTGAAGGGTTACATCTGCCATAATGGCTCCCTTAATAGAAGGGGATAAATGAAAAAGAAATATATTGAGAAAAGAAATTTTTCTTGCTAGCCCATTTGGCTAGATTATGTGCTCTCATATTTCCTTCTCTGTAAATCAGACACAAATTGTTAAACAGCTGTCCAACCTCTCGATTAACTCATTGGTTTTTGTTTCCATGCATTGCTTTTGTGATTGTCTCCGAGTCTGTGTGAGCCCAAATCTTGTTGGAGAAACATTTGACCCAATTTAGTCCATGAAGTAAAACTCATGCTTCTCCTTCTAAAATATTGCTTGCGTTGATGTTTCATGTGTTGGCTGCCACAAAG